CGAACAGGCGGTTGCAGGAAGCAGCAAGGGAGCCCGGACCAACCTGCCACGGGTGCCCGTCGCTGGCGGAGAGAGGCAGCTCCTGCGCTGCTGTGGAGAGTAGGAACCCACCCACCCGGGAGAGATCAGGCGGCAGAAGTGGCTTATACAGGATAGATTCTTCCCAGCCCCCCCTTCCACCACCACCCCCTTTCCCGTAGGTTGCCGTTGTAGTGAACTGGGCGTCCAGGATTAAGAAAAGGTGACCGATTTCAGTGCGCGCCGCGCGGGTGAATCTCTAGAAAGTCCCCAATTCTTCTCGATGGGACCACTAGACACACCTGCTGGTCTGTGGCGAGACCTGCGAGTTTTGCTAAAAAGGCCTGGGACTGTCAACCGGAGTGGCAGGTGGACCAGAGGAAGGAGAGGCAGCCCCTCTACCGTAATGCCCAGAAACGCGGCTCCTTCCCCTGTTCCGTCATCAAACCCGCACCCCCCCCTCCCACACAAACACCACTTTCTGTCTATCTGGTTATTATTTATCTTTACCGCTGTAAGCCAGAAGTTGCAAAAGTTAGGTAGTTGAACGACCCGTCCCAGAGTCTACACACAGAGCGTGGCCGAGGGGTTCTGGTACTTGCAGTCCAACTCCGGAGCTTTCTGGGTCTCTCATTGGAAGCGCCTAACTAGGATTCAGAGATGGAACAGTTGCATTTCCTTCCACAGCAGTGAGGAGAGGGCGACCCTTTGGACGCGGATGTAAGTTCATGTAAGCAACAAAATGTGGCAGTGTGCAGTATTCCTGTGCAGGATGCCAGCCAGCCAGCCATGCCCCTTTCTAGGAAACTTCCTTCTTGCACACACACACCCTTTCGCCTACAAGAAAGCAGGCACATCTAAAGGGCCACTGATAGTGCTCAGGTATCAAGGAGCTCTTGGGGAGTTCCTGCCTTACCAGGATCAGGCCTACCACTGGGCCAAGGGAGGCCAGAGAGTTGCATTGGGCAGCAAAGGGTGCAAAAACTCAAGTTACTTGTTGTAGCATTTTTGCTGTTCAGGAGGAGAAGAAACCTTTGGGCCATTTTGTTTCCTGTGTCAGAATAACTTGGTTGGCTTTTGGAAAAATGTGCTTTCGAGCTGGTGAGGTACGCTGGTGAGGTACGCCATGTCCTCTTGTAACAAAATGCCTTGGGCTGGTTCTGCTTGCCTCTTTGATGCTTTTTTTGCATACAGGGTGCCTTTTTCTGTTCCCTAAGTATCCACAGTCAGAAAATAGTCTGAAGTTACTAAAAACTTCAAAATAAAACTGTAGATATATATATTTTATGGGTGATGCATGTTTTGATCCCCACCCCCCAAACAACACCCTGAACCACTGGTCAAACACTTGGCAAGTTCTGCTCTGTTCAGACCTTACAAAGTAGTTTGGCATTGTTTTCATGACACAGGTGTAATGTGAATGGAATGTGACTGGTGTAGCAAATTCTCAAGCAAAGTTTCCCAGCTCCAAGAAATCCCGGCCACCACAGCTGGTGACAAAGATTTCTGGGAGTTGAAAGCCACTGTTCCAGATGCTTATCACCCAGAACTACAGGGCATGGAAAATTTACTCATATGCATTGCAGTGCTTAGAGTTGACTGTGCTGGCCAGTCATCTGAATTATACTCCGCCCGTAACTAAGATGTGCAAAATTGTTAGCACCCATCCATTTGCTAGCACACTACATCCATTTGTTAGCACCACTGAATTGATTTCTGAATGGTGAATCAGCATTCAAGTAAATCCAATTAATTAAATGGTTTACTCCAGTTGGGATTGTTAATTGGATTAAGCATTTACTTTTTTAATTTTTATCAAGGGGAGGGAGTAATCATGCCCATTTAAAGTTAACTGGATTCCTGTGTGCCTGAAATCCGTAGAAGAGCCTTGTCCTTCAGGAATAGGCTCTTGGGCCTAACAAGGCAATCTTTGCTTGCTCTATTTTTCATTTTTCCATTTCCAGGCCTGGGGAATATGGGAATTCCCTGAATTCATTATATTATTGTTGGAGGACGGGGAGCAGGCTGAACAACTTTTCTTTCTGGTCATTATTTGCTTTTGGCTTACATGTTCTCTTCTGCTGTCCTTTAAAAAGAGTAGCGGCTAATCTCCTTAAGACTCCCCCCACCTAGCAATGTGTACAGATGGAAGATGATACTGCCTTTGTAATGGAGAATGAAATACAGTCACCCAAAACATCACAAGGCAGCTAATCTCTTTATATAATCAACACACATACACACACTGTGCACTAATATTACGCAGTAATTGAGACCAAACAACATGTGTCACTTGGTTGTGTGTAGCTGAGCTGTTTTCCCCCTTTCTTTTTCTATTATAAAAGCTACAATGGAAATTGTGTTTGTTTCTACACACCTCTTGCTGGCTGAGGTTCCCCCTCCCCGCTCCTGTCCAGTTGGTTTTTTACCCTTTCGCAGCTGCATTTTGTAAAACAGACATGGGAGGGGGGGGCAAATCAGAAGGAATGAAGAGCCCTTAGGGGTCTTTCTTCCTTCACATCCATGTGAGGAGGGGGAACAGCACCTCCCTCCTTAGCTGCTTCCGACCCCACAGTCTCATCACACCTGCTGCCCACATCTTGGGAGGAAGGGGAGTCTGAGAAAAAGCAAACGCTGGTTGTACACAACCAGAGGAGGCTCCCTGTTTTATACACAATGTATTCAAACTGAGGAAGGAAGACGTCTAATGGGGAGCAGTCCGGGATGGGGACTTGGAGTGCGGCACTCCCTGTCAAGTTAGACTTAAGCTGCGCCAATGACTTGACTCCGGGCATTTTTTCAATGACTTGGGACTTGACTCATGACTCAGAACCCACTCACTCACCCCGCTTTTTTTTTTTTTTTTTTTTTTTTTGAGGGAAATGGTTGTTCTTAACACGGACTTGAGACTTGATACCAAAGACTTGGACTCAGACTTGGGACTCAGATCCAAATATTTCCCAACATTGCTGAGAGCAGTAAATATTTTATTTGTCTGAAAGAAGAAAGTCTATAGAAATGTGTGCCCCAGGAGAGGAGAGCCCCAAGGCCTTGAACCCACATCTGGCTGTCCTGTAACCCCTCACCCCCACCACCCCACCTCAGATGGTCATGCCAGCTTCTTTATGACAGCAGTGTTTGGTGGTTTCACTGATTCCATACAGACTTTCCCCTTATTCTAAAAGGTTTAAATATTTCTCACAAGGTACTGTCAGTAAGATCTTCAAAATCTGAGGATATGTTTCCCTCCACCCTTTCGTTTGGCAGCCCACCCACTATTTGAATACTGCTCCTGAGAACTTTCCTTGAACTGAATCCAGTCCTTGGTCTGGAAGAGATTCAGCGTGACTGGTTTGAGGGCTTAATTCAGGATGACGAACATGTGGTCCTCTGAATCGTCCTGGAATCCAATTCCCACCAGCCCCATCCAGGAGGGCCAGTGCCCAGGGGGATGGGAGTTGGAGTCCAATGACATTTGCAGAGCTTACGTTTCTGACCACTTTCTGACCACCAGAATATGCGGAAGATGTCTGCTAAAATTGGTTGCCTTTATTGGAATGGCTTAGGACAACTTTGATGTAGTGTGGAGTATCATAGAACCTAATTACACTATTAGAACAACAACTGCTGTTGATACTGGGCTGAAAATAGCTTCTGTTTACTCCTGTATCTGACCAGAAAAGAAAGAAGAGAAAAAGGAAAATGTTGATTAAAAAAAATAGAAAAGGACTACAGGTACTAATAAAGCAAGTATAGGTAAAGGTAAAGGTTCCCCTTGACAATTTTTGTCCAGTCGTATTCGACTCTAGGGGCCGGTGCTCATCCCCGTTTCCAAGCCGTAGAGCCAGCATTTTGTCCGAAGACAATCTTCCGTGGTCACATGGCCAGCACGACTAGACACAGAACACTGTTATCTTCCCACCGAGGTGGTCCCTATTTATCTACTTGCATTTTGCATGCCTTCAAACTGCTAGGTTGGTAGGAGCTGGGACAAGCAACAGGAGCTCGCTCCATTGCATGGATTCGATCTTATAACTGCTGGTCTTCTGACCTTGCAGCACAGAGGTTTCTGCGGTTTAACCTGCAGTGCCACCATATCCCTATAGGCAAGTATAGAGAAACTAATTTAAAAAAATGTGAGTATATAAAATGTCATTTAATATACAATAGGACCCTCATATTCATGGGAGATTGGTTCCAAGCCTCTCCATGGATGCTGAAAAATGTGGATTATAGCAAACACTATTATAATTTTTTGTTCTTGTTTAGTCCTTAAGTCATGTCCGACTCTTCATGAATAACAGTGAATACTATACATAGCATAGTCTCTGC